AAAGTGTTATTAAAATCAAAATCCGAGTTTATATCAATCAGGAATCTTTAAAAATCGAAACCTGGATATCACTAGCTTTACTGCTTACTGTTTTCCAAAAACAATGTCAGTTTTTTTTTTCTCTCGGGAATAAATAAATAAAATTTTAAAAAATACACGAAAACTTTCGGAATTATAGTGATTTTCCAAGCGTAGCTTAGATGTGGCACAAGTAGGAGGCACGCAGTGAGGATCGAACACACTACTCAGTTGTAATTGTTCTAGCGAGACAAGCTGGCTAACCATTACACCGCCTCGAGATGCCTTAAATGATTTTCTAAGCGTAGCTTAGATGTGGCACAAGGCCGAAAGTATGAGGCACCCAGTGAGAATCGAACTCACTACTCAGTCGTAACTGTTTTAACGAGACAAGCTTGCTAACCATTACACTACACCGAGGTGCACAAATGATTTTTTAAGCACAGCTTAAGCGTGGCACAAGGCCGAAAGCCTGGGGTACTCAGTGAGGATAGAACTCACTACTCAGTTTAACACTTCTATCGAGACAAGCTTGTTAACCATTACACCACATCGAAGTGCCCAACTTTGGGAATTATATTTCCCATTAGCCTGAAATAATACAAGCGGTTATTAGTGAAATCACTTTTTATAGTCCTGTTTTTGGTGCCTTGCTCTTGAGGTTATTTCTTCTCTCCCGATTCCCCATTCAAAGGTCATTGCCTATTTGATATTAGCCTCTGTTGGTTTTCGTGTCATGTGGCTATCACAAATTGTACAAGCCGAAAACCTGACGGTCAAAAGTTACGAACAGCTAAGGCAAATTCTATGATTCAATTTCGGATCAACAGGACGACAACCGTTGAGAGATTTTTACCTTGTCCCGCACACTAGATCGATAATATAGTGGACCCAATCATCGCTGGAGAAACTCACTACCTTCGTCTTGTATCAGACTTAACTAAATTTAGTAAAAGAAATCAATTCCAAATCACCAGGCAAAGAGCCAAAGTTTTTGCAAGACAAGTCACGATTTTTTCTCTGACTCTTGAAATAGACACATCTGCATAATTTCGTATCCTAACGTAAATAAAACAATTTCTAAAGAAAGAGATAGAATTTTTATTTATTAATCCGACAGATTTTAATGAATTAACCGTTATTTTAAAAAAATTATATAAAATAAGACTTAATATGGATTTTGTCAAATTTACCAATAACACAAAATAACTTACTTGAAAATTTGAAAGATTGAGTAAAAAAAAACTTGATAGACAGAACTTGTTTGAGAAAATTCTTGCTGACGAAGTACAACTTTACTACCAAAGATTCACTAAAAATGAGCATACACGATGAGAAAATATCCTAAACTTAATAAAAACAAATTTTTAGTGTAAAGACCAAAGGATTTTTTAATTATTAAATTATATTTTTTGTTCCTTCTTAATACATTCTAAATCTTGGTTAATTTTTTCTTGTGTCAGTGGGTGATTATAAGGGAGTATATGAAATTTTAGCGTTGTTTTTTTGCGGTGAAAAACACATTGATTTGGAACTTCTTACAAAAATTAAATAATTGTCGGTTTTTAATTAAATTTGCAGGAGTTAGTCACAAATGGATTAAATTATTTTATAAACATTTCTCTTTTAGAAAATCTTGGTAAAAATATTTTTTACATCTATGTATGAAATCTATGTTTTTTTACATCTATGTATGACATCTATGCATGAAATTTCAAGAAATTTATTTTTGTAGGGTTTAATGTTTATATTAGTTATAAGCACACGTCATTGGAGAATTTAAATCATCAATTTGTTTTTTGTAAAACAGGACCCCCACTTACGGAAAGTTTGCGCTGAATAGTAAAATGATAAAAAAAAATGGAATAAAACTAAGACATTATTTAATTAGAAAAACTTTTACTTTCATGAATAAGATATATTATGGACACTATTATCTTAAGAAAAAAAATCGATGAATAATGAATTTTTACAAGAATTGTTTTCATTTTTTAAAATTTTAATTAGAGTAATTTATGAAGTTTTAAATCTTTTAAAATTTTGTATTAATTTGTAGCTGTTAGATGAAATTGTTATTAAATAAAAACTATATATAATTATCATAAATGGAAAAGCTTACTACAATTCAGTGACATCCAGTATTTTGAATAGAATTTTGATTTTTTTTGCGTGTATATCTAAACGTGTACATTTTTGTACATATGGACGTTCATACACAGCATTATCAGAAAATAAGAGCGATATCGATAGTAAATTTAAAGATAAAGAACTCAAAATCAATAAAATTTTAGATTATTTAGAATAAGCTGTATGTTGAATGTTAAGTTGTATGTTGAACAAATGAACAGACTCAATTCATCAGACGCGATTCGGCTTAAAAACCTGGCCAGCGATACAATGCGATTATTCAACATGACAATGCTCGCCCCATGTCGCTAACATGACCAAACATTCAATTAAAGACCTTCATTGGGAAGTTCTGCCATACCCACCATATTCTCCTGATTTAGCCCCTTCACCAACTTTCTAACAATTTGAGGGTGGTTTCGTTCAATAACGACGTGGAGCATAAAACGTGGCTTGATGAATGTTTCGTGACAAAACCTAGTGATTTTTAACGTTGAGGCTTGAACAGTTAGTGGATCGCTGACAGGCGATCATAAAAATGAACTAGAATACATTGTTGAATGATTCCTCAGAACTATTAATAAATAATAAATATTAAAATAGATTATAAAAAAAAAAACGAACGAATTTATATAACAAGCAAATCGAAGGACGATGTGGGAGCGGGATAAAAAGCAAATGAAATTAAGATGTAAGAATATTAGTAAAAAAAAAAAAAAACTACAACGCTTCAGTTATAGTATTCAAACAATCTTGATTCTCTCGTTAAAAAATGTATAACAAATATTTTTCTCTTTTGTAGATATAAAATATTTAACTCCGGGAGTGAGTGTTAATCTCCATAGGTCAGTCAATAAATTGGTAGCCTAATGATGAAAAAAGTATTTATTTTACCTAACTTATATTTTTCAACATAATTTTCTTTCTAGTCAGTACACTTAATTCAGCATTGATTATATAGGTTCGTCAATAAGTACGTAGCCTAATGTGGAAAAATCATTTGTTCTACAAAGGAGATTTGTTTTTCAACATGTTCTCCTTTATTGTCAATACACTTAATTTCGACTTGATTATACAGGTACGTCAATAAATACGTAGCCTAATGAGGAAAATCATTTATACTACACAAGAGATTTTTTCAACATAATCTCCTTTCTTGTCAATGCACACAATTCCGTCTTGATTATATAGGTACTGTCAATAATTACGTAGTCTAATGATGAAGAAAACTCGCCAGAATTTATCGAACATATCGGCCTTCCTTTGAATATTGCTGTTACATGTGGTCTTGTGCTTCTGCTATATACTTAGAGATTCTTGATAAAATCCAAAGAAGAATCTGCAATGTCATTGGTCCTGACCTGGCATCTCGGTCTCAGTCACTTTCCCACCGTCATAACAGATTCTCTGTGCCTTTTCTATAAATACTTCCATGGTAATTGTTCTGATGAAATTTTCTATATGGTACCGAGACGTTATTGAATTTAAGCGCAGTACTAGATTGGCGGGAAGGTCTCCCCATTTTACAGTTGAAATGGATAAATGTAACCGTAAGTTCTATGCTAACAGTTTCTTCTATCGCACTTCTTGCTAGTGAAACTCTCTTCCGACTTATTGCTTCACAGTAAACTTAATACTTAAATTTTTGAAGATCAATGTCAATCGTTATCTTCTGTCTTTTTAATTCTTGTTATTTTATTGTTCTCCCTCCTTAATAGTATTTTTTGATCGTAGTCTCTAGTAGCCCCTTGCGTCTTACTGGCTTTATTACCTAGCTTGGAGAGAAATGATTAAAAAACTTTTTTCAACATAATCTTCTTTCTTGTCAATGTCCTTAGTTCAGTGTTGCTTATATAGGTATGTCAATAAGAACGTAGCCTAATGCTGAAAAAAAATCATTTATTTTACTGAAGAGATATGTGTTTCAATTTAATCTCTTTGTTTGTCAATGCACTTAGTGTTAATTAGGCTAATGGTTAACAACCAATAACATTGGGGCCTAAGACTTACGGGAGAAAATTTTACAAGCGGGGTGAGAAGGAATTTTCTCTGGGAGTAACTGAATATAATCAGCTTTTCCCTTAAAAATGTACAATTCATTTGGCATGGCGTATGATGGCTTCCTCTCAACTACAAAATTAAATAGGGGAGCAGCTATCATATTTATTCAAGCGGTCAGTCTTGTATATATCTTTAGCCTGCAATAACCTCACGTGTTGATGTGCAAACCTTAATGTAGATATAGAAAAACGCAACAACAAAAATTAATGCGCGTACACACACACACACACACACACATATATATATATATATATATATATATATATATATATATATATATATATATATATATATATATATATATATGTGTGTGTATTCTAAAAATTTCTGATGAAGCTTAAATAAATGTCAAACGTTAAATTTATAAACATTTTCCTATTTGTTCATTCTACTATCACACATACAGACATATATATATATATATATATATATATATATATATATATATATATATATATATATATATATATATATGCATACATACATATTTAAGCTTCATCAGAAATTTTAAAATTGTAAATTTCTGATGGGTCTTAAATAAAAGCAAAACGATAAATTTATAAAAGTTTCCTATTCGTTCTATATTCTAACACGCAGACACACACACACACACACATACTTATATTTATAAATATACATGTAAACTATCTCTATATGTATATTTATTATTTAATATTCTGCTAATTCATCTAGCTAGCCAATCTCTTTTTCTCTCTCTCATATATATATATAGTAATCATAATATACATATAAACGAACAGTCTCTGGATGCGAGTCAATCATATTCAGTTCATTTAAGTAGCCAGCTCCTCTTTATAAAACGAATACACGAGAGAAAAACAGAGAGAACAGAGGAAACCACATAACATAGATGCGAGCAGGAAACGAGATAGATATCTCGCTAGGTAGATATGAACAGAGTCAGGTAGATAGGTATGTATGTAGGTAGAAATGAAGAGACTTAGATAGATAGATAGATAGATAGATAGATAGATAGATAAATAAAGAAGAGACTGAGGTAGCTAGATAGATATGAAAATACTTAGATCGATAGATATGAAGAGAGATAGATCGATAGATAGATAAATAGATATGAAGAGACTGAGATAGACAGAAATGAAAGATAGACAGAAATGAAAGATAGACAGATACAAACAGATTGAGATAGATAGATAGATAGATAGATAGATAGATAGAGAGATAGATAGATAGATAGATAGATAGATAGATAGATAGAGAGAGAGAGATAGATAGATAGATAGATAGATAGATAGATAGATAGATAGATAAATGATTCCAGAAACTGATTCAAAATCTTTAAAAGGATTCAATAAAGATTGTCATCAACATTATATCTATTATTTCAAGTTATTTTAGGGGTCTAATTCTGGAACATATTTCTGTCTTGGCGGACTTTGCAAATGTTCCCGTGCCAGAAAATTTTGATTCAACATCAATTTCAAAGAAC